AAAAAAAAGAAAACAGAAATCGAAAAAAATAGAAACGAAAAGTAGACAAGAGCTGCCCACATCCCTACCACCCATAGCTGGCGTCTGTTACCATTTTCGTGTTCTTAATTGCTCTGTTCCTTCTGGGGCCATGTTCCACTCTGAAAAAACTCTCTCAGTCCCCCACTCCCACTCCTATCCCTTTCAATGCTTTCATGGGGGTAATTCTAGAAACAGAAAGGGTTAATCATGAAGCCCGTAAAACAACCAAAGCATTTATTTGGGGTCTTAGGGATGGCAATCTAGGAGATACAGAGCCTACCCAAATTGAAAATATGCTCCGGATCGCCAACGTGAAGTGCAAGCTTATGAAGTAAAAAACCACAAGGTTACGTAATTTGTTTTGAAAGAATGGTGATTGGTGCTGGCACAGTTTTAACTAATACACAAGTGGCTGATCAGCTAACAGGTGTTACCTTAGCTCTATTTCGGTCCAAAGTAGAAGGATGTGTCCTGGGAGGTGGTCCAGGTGCGCTGACCAAAGTCACACATTTGTGGTGTCGGGAGATGTACCTGCTTCCTCAACGTCTTCTCGACTCCATTCTGGGTCACTCCTTACAATGCTTACTTGGTTTTGAATCTTCTTTCGCAAAAGTCGCCGCTTCCAGGATCTTCTCTTCACTCTGGTCAGGTTGAAACCTTACTACCCACAGGAACCCTCTCGAAGGCCTCGCCTTTGACTCATCACCAGGGGTTGACTCTGCTCAACGGTCTTCTCTCTCTCTGAGGACTCCCACTTTTGTTCATCCTGTGCATACGCGAGCATTTCCCCAGGCTGTGCCGTAGGTCCTCCTAATGAATAGTAAACAAATTAGCACAACACATAAATTTAGTTTGCAATAACTGTTATCATGGCTTGTCATATAATCAATTGTAAAATGCTTAGCAGCTGATACAGATAATCTTCTTTTTAAATTTAATTTAAATCCAAGTTAGTTAACATGTAGTGTAATAATGATTTCAGAAATAGAATTTAGTGATTCATCATTGACATACGACATCCAGTGCTCCTGCCAACAAATGCCCTCCTTAATGTCCACCGCCCACTTAGCCCATCCCCCCATCCTTCAGTTTGTTCAACCTTCAGTTTGTTCTCTGTATTTAAGGGTCTCTTAGGGTCTGCCTCCCTCTCTGTTCTTATCTTATTTTTGCTTCCCTTCCCTTATGTGATACAGACATTTTGTAGTTCATTTTATACTCTAGATGTTCCTTTTCTCCTTCCCTCTGCCACTAATTTAAAAATTTTTTTTTTCAACGTTTTTAATTTTTATTTTTGGGACAGAGAGAGACAGAGCATGAACGGGGGAGGGGCAGAGAGAGAGGGAGACACAGAATCGGAAACAGGCTCCAGGCTCTGAGCCATCAGCCCAGAGCCTGACGTGGGGTTCAAACTCACGGACCGCGAGATCGTGACCTGGCTGAAGTCGGACGCCTAACCGACTGCGCCACCCAGGCGCCCCCTGCCACTAATTTTAAACTACACTTTGCTGTTGTTGTTTGACCACTTTATAACTCTAGAATGACCACACGAAGCAGGCTCTAGCTGTGAACATTTACCAAGTGTTCCCATATGCAGACTCTGACCTGGTGAGCTGCTGAGTGAACATCATGGCCAGGATTACGGCCGTATGTACGATGTTTGGGCCAAAGCTAGACAACGAAAGAGCATGAGCAGGGGAGGGGCGGAGAGAGAGAGAGGGAGACACAGAATCCGAAGCAGGCGCCAGGCTCCGAGCTGTCAGCAGAGCCTGACGTGGGGCTGGAACTCGTGAACCGTGAGATCATGACCTGAGCCGAAGTCGGAGGCTCAACCGACTGAGCCACCCAGGCGCCCCCAGATGTTTTCATCTACATCCCCATCATAGGCGCCCAGGTCACTGTTGGCCATGGGGTAAGGGCTCAACAAATGTCCATGAAAGGACCTGAGCTGAGTCGTGAGCACAATGCCCTGCGGGGAAGGAAGGGAGAACAGAGCAGGCACATCAGGGCCGATAAATAACTGGGATTTCATGTCCCTTGTCAAGAAGAAGAGGATGTGAGAACATTGCCAGGAGTGTTCCAATACGGGCCAGGGACCGTGTGGATTAAAAAACAAGGAAAGAGGAACCCACAGTGTTTAGAGAGGTCAAAATACTTTCCCATGGTTACAGCTAGGACGTGTCAGAGTTGCCAACACTCGTAGCAATGGTTCACGGGGCTAACATTTTTGAAATCGAAGGTTCAGTGTTATTTACGGCTTTCATCAACCAGACTGACTATGGGCACGCTGAATCATTGCTCATGTTTGCATTCGTTTGATGCACACTTATTGCAGGGTAGATTAATGCTGTAGGGGATGCACCATCGGACAGGTGGAATGGGAAAAGTTCTCCATGACTCACCGACTCTACGTTTAGGCAGTGAGTTGCCACATAAGCGACTCAACGACTAAGTGGCTAAGAGGACAGTAAAAGAGAGAGAACACTTCCGGTCGAGATGGTCACTTCCTGGACCAGGTGGCATTTACACTGGGCATTAGAAAACACACAGTTCATCATCTCTGTAAATGTTTGTTTTGCCTTTCATGTGAACTGGCTCCCTCCCTTTCCCCCACACCCACACTCCGAGACCATGCCCACTCTCTGTGGTCAGCTATGGCCTTGCAAACCGGGGCACTTATTGGCCATTTAGATCTGCATCTATCTTGTTTCCAAAGAAGTCAGACTTAACGAGGGCTGGCAAATTCTGAGAATCGGGACAGGATGAACCTCCGTTACCTCCTAGGCTGGTAATCAGAACACTGGGCTGAATGCTGTGGGGTATGTGTCCTGCTCAACTGTGTCCTTGAATCAATTTGGACTAATTTAACCCCCAGGCGGACTCTGCACATGTCCTTTTCAGGAATTTAATCTTGGCTGTGATGTACCGCTCATATTGGTCATTAGTCTGGTTCTAACAAGACCATTTGGGACAAATTGGATCGGGCAGCACGCTTAAGTCAGGTGCACCTGCTTATGTGATTTCTTCTGCCTGTGTTCCTCTAGGCTAACCAGAGGAAAAGCGGGGAGAGGAAGGTGATTTCATTTTAGGAGAATATTTATGAAGTGAGAAAGAGGTTCAGTGAGGGAACCAGGCCTTTCCCTTGCTCTCTTTCTTTTGTCCAATTATTGAATGTCCTGCTCTTTCTGTCAACAATCAGTAGAGACTTGAAGGGGAGTCTTTTATTTTCAGAACATCACACCTACTGTAGTGAATTAAGATGCAGAAAGCCTTATGGTAAAAATGTAGGTATGAAATAACATATACATAGGAAAAGTTCTCAGTAGGGGGGTAATAGAGAAGAGCCAAAAGGAGTTACGACCTCTAGAAAGCAGGTCCTTTTCTGGTTAGAAATAAAACGAGGCAGCAAAACATAGGGACATACTTGCCATCCCTTTTTCATGATTTCTCTTTCCTGAGCTCCTTTACACTAACCAGAAGAAAATGGGAGGAAGGAAGGCTGTTCACATCTTAAAAATAAATTTCCGAGGGATTAGTGTGGTGTTCTTGATCTGTGACACCTGTGTTCTTAGCCAGGAAAAAGAGAAACCACCTAAGATCGTTTCACCAGGTTTGTTATTCTTATTTTTGGCATGTTTAATCTTCAAATAGTAAAAACAGAAAACATTATGGAGAATTGAATAATTAAGACCCCAAATCTGCCCATATTCCATGATGAAAAGTAAAGAAGTGAAGGAGGGGCACTTGTGGGGCTCCGTCGGTTAAGCATCTGACTCTCGGTTTCGACTTAGGGTCGTGGTCTTGCAGTTCGTGAGTTCAAGCCTCACGTCGGGCTCTGTGCTGACAGTGCAGAGCCTGCTTGGGATTCTCTCCCTCTCCCTCTCTCTCTCTGCCCTTCCCCCATTCGCTCTCTATGTCTCTCTCCAAATGAATAAATAAACTTAAAAAAAAATGAAGTGAAGGAAATACAGCACATTAGCCAAAAAAATCTACTGCCATATTGGACTCCCTACGTAAATAAAGTGTATCTATATAGCAAAGCCTGGGCAGCAAAATGAAGAGTGGAATTAGCAAGTGTCTTATCAAGCTCAGCTGCTAATCTTAATACTTGAAACCCCAAGATAATATTAAAAAAAAAAAAAAAAACAGAAGCAGGCTCAGTCCTGGACTGTCTGAAAGTAAAAAATAAGTGAAGAGGAACTAAGGAGGGGGTTTCCAATTTAGGAAAAATCACCTTCACTGGCCTTGCATATTCTAAAAAAAATCACTTGTTACTTTCTTTTGGATGTTGTGGGAAGGATCCCATCACAGTGCAGGAGTGAGAGCAGGGAGCCCCAGGGAACGGTACAGCCATATTTTCCCAGACTGCACCAGCACGGTTGACACAATCCTCTGCGGGGGAGGGGAATTAGTGAGTTTAAATCATGAAAATACTGCAGGGTTGCTGCATATATAAATGTTAAAATAAAAAACTAGCCCAAGGGAAATTATATGTTAGCTATCACCTCCTTTGAGTCAGCATGGAGGCGTTTATGGACACATTTAGTCCGATGCTAGACACTTTTTCTTCTCAGGAGAAATCTTTGCAAAAATCACTATCTGTCCTAACAGGGGCAGAGAAAAAAATGCACCAGGTTTTAAAAGCGTTAGACATACTCTTGATCCCATTTCCCGGTGGTGAGGCAGCATTCACCTTCTCATCCCTTAATGAAGTAGCAATGGGATGTGGATGTCGGAATCAAATGCTCTGCTGATTAAATTATGTGGTTAAAGTGAAGCATTGGGAGGCAGAAAACATAGAGTTCAATCCCTATACGGGGGCCCTGAGTTTGTTCTGCCTGTTGCATTCAGGACCTGAAAGGCACAATTGGAGGCTGTAAAATTCGGATATCAGAGAATATCAAGACACAACTTCGATGAATGAATGGACTTTTACTTTCAAAAAAGAGGCAGGAACTAAACAAATTGCTCAAAAAGAGTGAAAATACATATACAGATGAGGGACAGCAAACCCAACCCACAACATTGGTCTGAAAGAAAATAACTCACCTCCCTTGTCCACAGATGGGGTCACTGGTTGTAGCCAGCTTTTCTCTGCAGCCAAGATCCATAATGAGTCAGTGAGATGTGGTTAGCACCATCTATAGCTGAAGGTCACCTTTTTTTCTTTCTCCCTTATTCTTGATGAAGACCCCCCGCTGGATGAGGCTCTGCAATGGCGTGACTCTGGACAAATCCTGCAGGAACAGCTAGTTGGAGATTGTCTTTTTATCAAAGGTCAGGGGGAGGGAACAGAGGCAAAAAATAAGCTTTGTGTGTGTGCCTTCTCAATTTTGTACTTACTTCTAATTTTTCGTTTTCTCTTTATTTATTTATTTTTGTTTATTCTTGAGAGAGAAGAGAGAGAAGACAGAGCACAAGCTGGGAAGGGCAGAACAGAGGAAGAGAAAGAATCCGACGGCTCGTGCTGAGGCTGTCAGCCTAGGAGCCCGATGTGGGGCTGGAACCAGGTGGAGATCATGACCTGAGCCAATGTCAGATGCCTAACCAACCAGAGCCAGTCCAGGCTTCAATTTTTTCCATGGTGACTCTATACAAGGGAAGGATGCCCAAAGGAGTGTGGTTACCAGATCATGAAGACAAAGGTTCTACTGTACTGTGAGGATGTGAAAAGAAAGAAGTGGCTTGAGGGACTCATGATCCGCAGATTTCCCATCTATCTACTTATTCTTATAGCCAGAGCAAAGATGGCTGACCTGTGTTTTCTCAATTTATTTTTTAAAGTTTTTAAGCGTTTATTTATTTTGAGGAGCACAGACAGAACAGAGAAGTGGGGGGAGGGGCAGAGAGAGAGAGGGAGACACAGAATCAGGCAGGCTCCAGGCTCCGAGCTGTACACACAGCCGACCACGGGACTCAAACCCGAACCATGAGATATTGACCTGAGCCAAAGTTGGACCCTTGAAGACATAGCTCTAGGTGCCCTCAATATTTTCATCAGTAAAGAGAAACACGCCCTTTCCATCTTAAGCCTCATCATGGCTTGGTAAGGACTAGTTACAACAGCACTGAAGAAGAACGGGTATTGGAAAGAAGGTCGGATGAGAGCGTCCTAGTCCAAGCTGCTATTGATGGCTCTGGTGATGGCCTGACTATGTGTTATCTATCCCCAGCCCAGTTTCCTCTTCTGGTGCTGCCGCACTTCCTTCAAAACTACGACAAGTGCCAGCAAAACCCGTTCAGCTTAATACCAGCAATGATGCTTCCTCCCTAATCCAAATCTGT